TAACCCTATCCAAATTTCCCTTCCCTCCCGTCTCTTCTCTTTCACTTATTTTTCCTCGTTCGGCAGTTGACTTGACCGTCGGAGTGCAAACGGTCGCCGAACCTTTTTCTTGGCTGGCGGCCTTTTGCCTCCTAACGGAGTGTTCAGTGTGCAGGTGGTGTTCACGTGGAGGGGGACGTGGCAGAGATTCTGTTTGACTATTTTTTGAGGTCAACAGATTGGCGTCGTCTGTGGGAAATGATACATTAACCATGTTATACCACAATCAAAAGGTCATCAGAAAATATGATTTTCTGCGTAGTTATCTACTGGAAAACAGGCGGCAACTGAAGATAATTTTCCGAGCAGTTTCATCGACAAAAAATCAAAGAAAACTAGCCACAAGAAAGTGATTGGAAGATGATGCCAAAGGAAAAGCAAAAAGTCAATCTTTAATAATTCCACTTACTGGTTAGTGGAAGTTGATATCAACGGGGAGCAAAACCTAAACCTCCACTTATGGATCTTGAAAGATGAAAACCACCATTTTTCATAGTTTCAGGCAACAAATGAACCATAGCGAGAGAAAAAGTCTCGTTTGATTCAATATGAATAAGAAAAATTTACTCATTGTCAACAAATCTTGACTCTAAATTTATGATTCAGTTGCTTTTAAGGGATTGAGAAAATGGTCAAGCTTGGAGGATAAATATTCTTTGATTGTCGTCTCAGGGAAGGAACGGAATGCATCACTTACGTGGCTGTCCAAAAATCTGAAAATGTTGCAAGCACTCTTCATTCGTGAATAAAGAATTTCTTAGGCGCTTCCACATAATTATTCAAACTTGAAATGGTGCTAGAACTATTGCCTGAGCAAAAAATACAGTCTCCGATCGTAGCCCTTGAAATTTGGGTAAAGTTCTACCTCCGACGACCACCTCCGGCAATCGGCACTTTGCGGGTAGTCAGTGCTTGGTCCGGTTTTGGCGTCATTAAATTTGATAGAGACCGGGCTACGTGATAGCGTGTTCTTCTCAACCTTTTTGTAGAGCTATGACTGCAAATGGAGCAGGCTTCTACAGGTTCAATTTCAACCCCCTTTTTGAAGATATTTTGCTGGCAAGTGGAACATATTTTTACAGATTTAATTGGTACTTGTGTTGGCTTTAAAGTCAATTTTATTCAAGTGGCTGTGCACGCTAGTTTGGGATTACATGAATTCGGCCAAAATTTTATCCAAATTGGCTAATAATGATAAATCTTAGGTTAAGCCTCGTAATCTCACAAAAATATTTGGGCCTATCGGATCTTTTATTTCAACTATTGGGCTCATGGATCTATTATCCACTTGGGCCCATTCTACAAAGTCAAAAATTTTAAAATCCTCTATGGGCTCTCCTTTCAAATTGTGTTGGGCTCATACCCCATGTTTCCTTTAATTACCTCATCTAAATTATTTGGGTTGAGTTGGTTGTATTGGCTTGTTACAAATTGTAATTCCAACTAAAGACTTGCAAGATTTGTTATGCACGTTAATTCCAGACGAAATTACAGCCAGCCCTATC